ATTTTTGGTGTGAGGCAGACGGTTTCTCTATGTTGGCCAGTGGTCTTGAACTCCTGAGCCTCAGGCAATCCACCCGCTCTTTGGCCTCGCCAAAGCTGGCCGGCTGATTACAGGTGTGAGCACTGTGCCGCGCCATCAGCGCCAACACTTCTGGGAATCTTTTTACTGAAAACTGCTGCCTCATTTGTGTGAGACCCTCGTATTATGTGAAATGCTGGCTTTAAAAATTATATCTGTATTCTTATTTCTTGTAATCAAGCATCATGTCTGACATAAGATCATAAATGTATTGGGCTCTTTTAAAATAAAGAGATGTCAATATACTGCAGTATTGACACTATTACGTATATTTACATGTATTTTGGCGTTACTCAGAAGGCCCCCACACCACCGCTTTTTTTTGCTTATATTCTAGTCGTGGACTTTGGTTTTAGGATTCGATGATTTCTCTTTTTTTTTTTTTTTTTTTTTTTTTGAGACGCGAGTCTCGCTCTGGCCGGCGCGCGCCCAGCTGGGGGCAGTGCGCGGATCTCAGCTCACTGCAAGCTCCGCCCCAGCGTTCATGCCATTCGTCCTGCCTGCAGCCTCCCGACTAGCTGCGGGGACTACAGGCGCGCCGCCATCGCGCGGCCGGCCTAGTTTTTTGTATTTTTTAGTAGAACGGGGTTTCACCGTGTCAGGCGAAGGATGGTCTCGATCTCCTGACCTCGTGATCCGGCCCGGTCTCGGGGGCCTCCCAAAAGGCTGCTGGGATTCCAGCTTGAGCCACCGCGGCCCGGGCCTAGGGCTAGATTCATGATTCTTAATTTTCAAACTTTAGTGCATATCAAAATCACCCAGAGGGCTTTGTCTAGATAGGTGAAATTTTCAGGTGGCTTCTGGAGAAATAAAGTGTATTATTTCAGTCTGATTTGAATAAATTCTTCAGTATGACCTCATGTACACACTACATGAATTTCTTAAGAGTAGTAAAGTGGTATTTCATGTATTATTTATATTATACCATTGACTTCTTTCTCAGAAAAAAAAAGTTGCCAAAACCTTATGAAGTCACTGTTGAGAATTGTAGCATTTTGTTCTTTTCATTATTTAATTATTTCACATAACCCTGTCAGAATAATTAGACCTATAGACGTATGTAATCTTTGCTGAAAGATTATAACTCATATATTTAAATATCACATAGATGACCCTTACTGCACCATTACTTTGTAATGCTGTGGCAGTTAAGAAAGCAAGATTAACAGGCTGGGCACGGTGACTCATGCCTCTAAATCCCAGCATTTTGGGAGGCCGAGGCAGGCAGATCACTAGAGGTCAGGAGTTCAAAACTAGCCTGGCCAACATGGTGAAACCCTGTCTGTACTAAATATACAGAAATTAGCTGATCATGGTGGCAGGCGTGGTGGCAGACACCTGTAATCCCAGCTACTCGGGAGGCTGAGGCAGGAGAACTGCTTGAACCTGGGAGGCGGAGATTGCAGTGAACCAAGATGGTGCCATTGCACTCCAGCCTGGAAAACAGAGGGAGTCTCTGTCTCAAAAAAAAAAAGATCGACCTTTGTTTTTTAAGTGACTGATGAAGGTAGGAATTATTAGTGGGCTTTGTTTGTTTATTGTTTAGAAAAGATAGAATTTCGCTGGGCACAGTGGCTCACGCCTGTGATCCCAGTACTTTGGGAGGCTGAGGTGGGCAGATCACTTGAGGTCAGGAGTTCGAGACCAGCCTGGCCAACATGGTGAAACCTCGTCTCTACTAAAATACAAAAATTACAGGTGGTGGTATGCACTTGTAATCCCAGCTACTCGGGAGGCTGAGGCAGGAGAACCGCTTGAACCTGGGAGGCGGAGATTGCAGTGAACCAAGATGGTGCCACTGCACTCCAGCCTGGACAACAGAGGGAGTCTCTGTCTCAAAATAAAAAAAAATTGACCTTTGTTTTTTACGTGACTAATGAAGGTAGGAATTATTAGTGGGCTTTGTTTGTTTATTGTTTAGAAAAGATAGAATTTCGCTGGGCACAGTGGCTCACGCCTGTGATCCCAGTACTTTGGGAGGCTGAGGTGGGCAGATCACTTGAGGTCAGGAGTTCGAGACCAGCCTGGACAATGTGGTGAAACCCCATCTCTACTAAAAATACAAAAATTAGCTGGGCATGGTAGCACATGCCTGTAATCCAAGCTGTTTGGGAAGATGAGGCATGAGAATCCATTGAACCTGGGAGGTGGAGGTTGCAGTGAGCTGAGATCATGCCATGCACTCCAGCCTGGGCGACAGAGTAAGACTCTATCTCAAAAAAAAAATAAAACCCAAAAACAAACAAACAAACAAACAAAAAAAACAGAGAAAGAAAAAGAAAATAGAAGAAAAGAAAGAACTTGAAGAAATATTCTAAAAAAGACATTCTCTCCTATAGTTTTCCTTTGCAGCTAGAAAACGGTCAAGCTATGGAATGTACAGTAGCTCAATATTTTAAGCAAAAGTATAGTCTGCAGCTGAAATACCCCCATCTTCCCTGTCTCCAAGTGGGACAAGAACAAAAGCATACATACTTGCCACTTGAGGTAAGTTAAATTTTCTTTTGCCAATTTGCTGATCTCTTGAATGAGTATATATTTTTAAGTAGAGTTCTAAACTAGTGGTGAAATTTAGTGTTAATTTCTAAAATATTTTTGGCAAATGATTTCACTATATAACCAAATTTTAATTTTTTTGGAAATGGAGGATGTAAGATACGGTTTAGCAAAGGTTTAAGATGTAGAACCCTTTACACAAACCAATCTCTCTTTGTCTCTTGGCAGGTCTGTAATATAGTGGCAGGACAGCGATGTATCAAGAAGCTCACAGACAATCAGACTTCCACAATGATCAAAGCTACAGCAAGATCTGCTCCTGACAGACAGGAAGAGATCAGTAGACTGGTCAGTAAGGCATGGTCTTCAAGATGAGCTAGCTTTGAGATAACAAGAAACGAAAGAATAGAAAACTCCTCCTGGGACACAGTTACTCTCTGGTTTTTATATATGCAGGCTTTCCTGTTCTTTAGGTGAAGAGCAACAGTATGGTGGGTGGACCTGATCCATACCTTAAAGAATTTGGTATTGTTGTCCACAATGAAATGACAGAGCTCACAGGCAGGGTACTTCCAGCACCAATGCTGCAATATGGAGGCCGGGTAAGCTTTTTATTTTATTCAGCAAGCTTCTTCCACAACCAGTCAAAAAGAGAATCATCCAAGGTTTTTCTACTCTGCCACTACTAAATTTACCCATAGTTTTATTCATTATTGCCTTTTGTATTCTGGCTCATACCTAATAGAATTTTGTTTATTCACTCATCAACAGTAAAATGGCCTTAGATTGTAATGTCTTTTCTCTTTTCTTTTGTTTCTTCTTCTTCTTCTTCTTCTTTTTTTTTTTTTTTTTCAAAGAATAAAACAGTAGCCACACCCAACCAGGGTGTCTGGGACATGCGAGGAAAGCAGTTTTATGCTGGCATTGAAATTAAAGTTTGGGCAGTTGCTTGTTTTGCACCTCAGAAACAATGTAGGGAAGATTTACTAAAGTGAGTATCTTCATATTTTCAGCTTAGTAATATCCCTTCCAGATATGAAAATACTGTCTTTATGTGAATGTGCTGTGTACACTGGCACTAAATCCCTGACTCCCATAGTGACACCATCTGGCTATACGAAAAAGACCTTGTATTATAGTAATTTGCAAACTTGGGAATTACATTAAGAATCTGACTCAGCTTCCTTACATGTAGAGCAAAAATATTTGAGTAACAAGGCGGAGGCAATGTTGGTTGGCAAATTCTTGAGTTCTTATTGAAGCTTCCTTTGGTATTAATTGTATCTTTTCAGCTAAAATTAAAAACTACCTTAGTTTTAATCATTAAAATTTACTAATGAGCTTGTTTTATCACAAGGTCTCTAGGTAAGAGTAGGTTCACATCTTACAGATGCAGCTATCTATATAAAAGTAGTAGTTAGTGGCCAGGCGCAGTGGCTCACACCTGTGATCCCAGCACTTTGGGAGGCCGAGGTGGGCAGATCATGAGGTCAGGAGATCAAGACCATCCTGGCCAATGTGGTGAAACCCCGTCTCTACTAAAATACAAAAAATTAGCCAGGCATGGTGGTGTGCGCCTGTAGTCCCAGCTACTGGGGAGGCTGAGGCAGGGGAATCGCTTGAATCCAGGAGGCAGAGGTTGCAGTGAGCCGAGATCTCGCCACTGCACTCCAGCCTGGAGACAGAGCAAGACTCCATCTCAAAAAAAAAAAAAAAAAAGTGAGAAGAGTGAAAAAAATTTAAGAAAAGGGAACTAGAGTGAAAGAAAGGAATTCTACAAAATATTGGCAAATGCACCAAAGGAATGTTCTGAAAGCTTTATACATAGATTGAAGTAACTTCTTAAATCTAAAATTTAAAACTTCAAAGTGAATTTCGCTTTTTTAAAGTGATAATTTCTTTTGATATTTTTATTGAACCAAATCTGTTCCAAGTTTGAATGTAGTGCTAAATACACTGATTTTGTAACAGCATGTTTCTGTGTTCTCAGTTGAGTACAGGCTTACCCAGCTATTTCTGTACCAGGCTTACCAAAATGCATGTTACCTGAAATTTTGACCCTGCTTTTCTTCAGTCTGGAATATTGATTTGAATGTTTAAAAGATCTTTAAACAGTAGTGCTATTCTAGTTCAGCTGGGCATAATTATATAAAAATTTCAATTGATAATCTGATAGCTTAGTAATACAGATTCTTTTCTGTTTAATTGCAACTTAAATCACAAGTTTAATTGCAATTGCCAGTCCATTTTCGGCAACCAGTTAAAGATTTTTATTTATTTGTTCATTTCTAAATTTGGCTAAGAATTTACAAAACTGAAGGAAGTATTTCAGAGGAAAATGAATGCTAGAAATGTACTCTGAAACGAAAAAACTGTGCTACTGATTCTATTTTAACAGGAGTTTCACTGACCAACTGCGTAAAATCTCTAAGGATGCAGGAATGCCCATCCAGGGTCAGCCATGTTTCTGCAAGTATGCACAAGGTGCAGACAGTGTGGAGCCTATGTTTAAACATCTGAAAATGACTTATGTGGGCCTACAGCTAATAGTGGTTATCCTGCCTGGAAAGACACCAGTATATGGTATGGACCCTTTTAATGCTGAATGAGGGATGATTTCAAGCAGTAGATACAACAGTCAGGATAAGCTAGGTTATGCTGCAGTCACAAACCTCAAACTCTCAGTGGTTCACAACAACAAAGATTTGTTTCTTGCTCCTGTTATGCATCCACTGAAGGTAGACTGCCGCCTCTGCTCTGTGTCATCATGTCATCTCCACTTGGGGACCCAGCTTGGCAGAGCAGCTGCTATTTAGAGTGTTGCTGGCCACACATTCTTTTTTCTCTCTGCAATTCCTTGGCCACAACCAGCCATATGGCCTTACCCAACTTGCGTGGGAGCAGTGGGGATGGGGGTTGAGAATGTAGTGTGATACTACCATAGTCCTGGAAGCTGAGAGAACTGGAAATATTTGGTGAAAAGCACTTAGGAATATGAGAGTGAGGAAGAGTGCCACTTCCAGAAGAGGATTTGCTTAGTTTGTATCTATTATAAGAAGAATGATACAAAGTTATTTTGGCTATCATTTAAGTAAGGGATGTAGGAACTATTATTGTTGTTGAGACAGGATCTCAGCTCTGTCACCCAGGCTGGAGTGTGGTGTCATGATCACCGCTTATCTCAGCCTCAAAATCCCAGGCTCAAGTGATTCTCCCATCTCAGGCTCCCAAGTAGCTGGGAGTACAGGTGCCCACCACCACGCCTAGCTACTTTTTGTATTTTTTGTAGAGACAGGGTTTTGTCATGTTGCCCAGGATGGTCTTGAACTCCTGGGCTCAAGCCATCCACCTGCCTTGGCTTCCCAAAGCGTTGGGATTACAGGCATGGGCCAGCACGCCCAGCCAGTTTTAAACTTTTTTTTTTTTTTTTTTGAGGCAGCATCCTGCTCTGTCATCCAGGCTGTATTGCAGTGGCACGATCTTGACTAACTGCAGCCTCTGCCTCTTGGGTTCAAGTGATTCTCCTGCCTCAGCCCCCCAAGTAGCTGGGACTACAGGCGCATGCCACCACACCCAGCTAATTTTCGTATTTTTAGTAGAGATGGGGTTTCACCATGTTGGCCAGGCTGGTCTTGAACTCCTGATCTCAAGTGATTCACCCGCCTTGGCCTCCCAAAGTGCTGGGATTACAGGTGTGAACCACTGTGCCTGGCCCCAGTTTTAAACTTTATAAAATGTCTTTAACCTTCTCTCTACAGTTATCTCTAGTACTTAGAGAAAGAAAAAAAAAAAGCAAAAAAACAAAATAAAGTAAAATTCAAAGGGCCGGTGTGTGTACTGAGAGGGAGGAGCTGGGAAGATTGATTCTTTTGCTAAATCAGTCATGTGGGAAGAGGCGCATCAAGGAGCTGAGCAAGTCATGGCAGGCAGTACAGAGAATAAAGGAAGCAGGCTGGCTGCAGGGCCTGCAGGAGGGAAAAAAGGAGAGAAGGGAGGGCCTATCCAAACACGGGGAAAAATTGCCCTGGGGGTTTAGCAGATAAAAGGAAGATACATGAGAAGCATCTAGCACAGTGTACAGTATATAGTAGGTTATAAAGTTAATGTGTGGGGTTTTTTTCCTTTTGCTTTTAGTAATTAAGAGACCATTTAAACATGTTAAAATTAATAAATTATTTTTGTAGCGGAGGTGAAACGTGTTGGAGATACCCTTCTAGGTATGGCCACACAGTGTGTCCAAGTAAAAAATGTAGTGAAGACCTCACCTCAAACCCTTTCCAATCTTTGCCTGAAGATAAATGCAAAACTTGGAGGAATTAACAATGTGCTTGTGCCTCATCAAAGGTAAGATTCTGAATGCTTTCCCCACTTTTGTTTAAGATCTAACTTATATAATTTACAGGAAAACACACAAATATATATGCATCTAGATTACCTTTTCTCTTGTATATATATGCACCCATATACCCAACACCCAAATAAAGATATAGAACATTTCCAGCACCCCATCAGACTTCCTTATGGCCCCTCCAAATAGATAACCCCCACAAGTGACCACCATTCTGATGTCTGTCAGTTATCTAGATTACTTTTGCCCATTTTTGAGCTTCATATAAATGGAATCATATAGTATGTACTATTTTGTGTCGGTCTTCTTTTGCTCAACATTATGTCTGTGAGATTCATTTGTGTTGTTGCACTTAGGAGTAGTTTATTCTTTTTCATTGTTGTGTATTATTTCATTACATGAATAAACCACACAATTTTAATTTATTCTACTATTGATGGATATTTTCATACATTCATTATACAATTCTACATTTTTGGTGAACTTAAATACTCTTTCTCTTGTGTGGAATTCCAGGAGTGTAATTACTGAGTTACAGAGAATATATATGTTTACTATTAATAGATATAGTCAAATAGTTTTCCAAAGTGGTTGTACCAGTTTACACTTACACTGAGAGTTCTAGTTGCTCTATATTCTTACCAACACTTGGTAGTATCAGTCCTTTTAATTTTAGCCATTTTGGTTGGGGATAATAGTATCTCATTATAGTTTTAATTTGTATTCCCTTGATGAGTAATGATGTTAAGCACATTTCCATATGCTCATTAGCCATTTGGACATCTTCATTTGTTTTTTTTTGTTTCGTTTTGTTTTGAGATGGAGTCTCACTCTGTCACTCAGGCTGGAGTGCAATGGCATGATCTTGGCTCACTGCAGCCTCCACCTCCCAGGTTCAACCAATGCTCCCACCTCAGTTTCTTGAGTAGCTAGGATTACAGGTGCACACTACCATGCCCCACTACTTTTTTTGTATTTTTAGTAGAGACAGGGTTTCACCATGTTGGCCAGACTGGACACGAACTCCTGACCTCAAGTGATCCGCCTGCCTCAGCCTCCCAAAGTGCTGAGATTATAGGTGTAAGCCACCGCACTTGGCCTGTTTTGTTTTCTGGGACAAGGTATCTGTCTTCCAGGCTGGAGTGCAGTGATGTGATCATGGCTCACTGAAGATTCAAACTCCTGGCCTTCAACTGATCCTCCCACCCCAGCCTCCCACGTAGCTGGGACTACAGGCTCATACCACCATGCTCAGCTAATGTTTTTATTTTTTGTAGAGATAGGGTTTTGTCCTGTTGCCCAGGCTGGTCTAGAACTCTTGAGCTCAAACAATCCTCCTGCCTCAGCCTCCCAAAGTGCTGGGATTACAGGCATGAGCCACCATGCCTAGCCTGAACATCTTCTTTTATAATGGACCTGTTCAGTCCTTTGCTCATTTTTTAATATTGGGTTGTGAGTCTTTTTTATTAATTTGTAGTAGTTCTTTGTGATTTCTGGTCCTTCACAAGATACAGATATCCTATAGGCAAACAGGATAGGCAGATTATCTTGTCGTAGTCTGTGTTTTGCCTTTTCACTCTCATACATTGTGGGTTTTCTGTTTTTTCTTTTTAAGACAAGATCTCACTCTGTCACCCAGGCTGGAGCACAGTGAGGCAATCATGACTCACTGCAGCCTCCATCTCCCCAGCTCAAGCGATTCTCCCACTTTAGTCTCCTGAGTAGCTGGGACTACAGGAATGTGCCACCATGCCTGCCTATTTATTTATTTATTTATTTATTTATTTATTTATTTATTGAGACAGAGTCTCGCTCTGTCACCCAGGCTGGAGTACAGTGATGCAATCTTGGCTCACTGCAACCTCCGCCTCCTGGGTTCAAACAATTCTCGTGCCTCAGCCTCCCAAGTAGCTGGAATTACAGGCATACACCACCATACCTGGGTAATTTTTGTATTTTTAGTAGAGACAGGGCTTTACCCTGTTGGCCAGGCTGGTGGTCTTGAACTCCTGACCTCAAGCGATCGGCCCACCTTGGCCTCCCAAAGTGCTGGGATTATAGGCATGAGCCACTATGCCTGGCCTTAAATTTTTTTTAGAGATGAGGTCTTGTTATGTTGTCCAGGCTGGTCTTGAACTCCTAGGCTTAAGCGATCCTTCTACCTCGGCCTCTCAAAGTGTTGGATTTATAGGTGTGAGCCACCATGCCTGGTCAACAGTGGCTTTTTGATGAACAGAAAATGTTAATAGGACTGAGTTGAATCAATCTTTTTATGTTCTTTTAAGAAACCCTGTCTGCCCCTCCCTTCATAGGTTTTGTTTGTTTGTTTGTTTAAATTTGAGTTTGTCAGATTGACTCTAGAGTAAACAAACACCAAGGCAAGACAGGGATATGCTGGCTGGAAATTGGGAGATTTGAGCATTGTCACTCATGTGAATTTCTAGTGTCTCTGGGCCTCAGTTCCTTATCTATCAAGATAATAATATCTGCCTTGTTAACTTGAAAGTGTTGTTTCTCTGTGAAATCCTATGTGTGAAAGTGATTTGAAGAGTTAAATTTGGGGCTGTGGTGTTAGTCATTGCCATACTTGAAGATGAAATTGAGTGCCTTGCTCTTATACAATCATATCACAATTCTTTCTTTTTTTAAAATTTAATCTTACCATATTTTGTCAACTTGATTAATTGATTTATTGTTTCTTATTTATTTATTTATTTTTTTGAGACAGGGTCTCACCTTGTCACCCAGGCTGGAGTGCAGTGGCACAATCTTGGCTCACTGCAAACTCCGCCTCCCGGGCTCAAGCAATCTTCCCACCTCAGCCTCCCAGCTAGCTGGGACCACAGGCGGGCACCACCATGCCCAGCTTATTTTTTGTATTTTTGGTACAGACGAGGTTTCTCCATGTTGCCCACATTGGTCTCAAACTCCTGAGCTCAAGCAATCCACCCACTCAGCCTCCCAACACAGTTTTCATTTTTGTCCTTGAATGAAACTTCTAGGTAAATAAATCCCTCCTTAAACATTAGTGATGAGATATATGGGACATAGGGGAAGTTAACCTAAAGTCTGTCTTCATTTAATTTTACCCCAAACAGGCCGGGCGCGGTGGCTCACGCCTGTAATCCCAGCACTTTGGGAGGCC